CTGGGGAAGAGAGCGAGTGCATGTTAGAACCTGGGTTTAAATTCATAAAGTAAAGAAGAGTAAAGAAAGGCAAACGGAGAACGCATTAGCAATACACATATTGAAAAGGTTTGTTATGACATTTAAGACATTAAAATACTGATTACTGCTGCGCCTTTGATCTGAAGCTTGTTTTCAGTGAATAAAATTAGTGACACAACGGCCTGTGGGTCACACAGCGCCTCACACCTCCGCTTCGCCTTTACTTTTCCACTCATTGCTTTGTTTGTTGTAAACACAAGTTCGTTTGCGGTATTTGCTGGTGTGATCGATTTTGCATTTATACTCCAGCTGAAACCATTGATATCAGAAATTACAATCAGCGTTCTGTCACAGTATTTTCCCCTTCACCGCATCGTCCTGGAGGTCAAATGATCCTCACGTTCATCCCACTTGAGGCCTAGCCTCAGCCCGGGTCCACGGCGCGCTTGCTAAATCAGTCTCGTAAGAATAGCAAATTAGGTGGATGAAGATGCTAAAAATGTCTTTATATGATAAGAAGTCACGAGAGTCTAGTTTGTCGCGATACTTGCGTATTAAGTATGAGTACATATATAAGTACATACACTTACTTCATATGCACCACGTACCTACACACATCCTGGGTATGAATGTTCATTTTTGCACACGTATACACACACACACACACACACACACACACACACACACACACACACACACACACACACACGCACACACGCACACACACACACACATACACACACACGCACGCACACACACACACACACACACACACACACACACACACACACACACACACACACACACACACACAGAACATGGTAAGACGGCAGTGTGGTCGGCCCCAGAGAAAGTGAGGATGGTCACTTAACTGGACAGACCAAGCATTCCACATGTACAAAAACACAGATGCACAAAATGTTTACATTAGTGCCAATGTAAAATTGGAATTTCAAATGCCCCAAAGTCTTCATAAACAGTCTTGCAAAAAGTTGATATCCATCTTCAGCTTATCTTCTATGCATGGATATTCACCTTAAGTAAGCTACGGAATTATGGACTATGATAGAAACAATGTGTGTAACACGGAGCAAGTGACAGTTTCCCCCAACCGCCATTTATATGTGCACTCTATTTCAAAATTAAATAGAATTTGTGTTGCTTGACTAACATGTATTTTAAACTGAGATAAACGGAGAGGAACGCGAAAGTAGCCTTAACTGGTAACGTTTTCCCACCGGTTGAGTGCGTCTAACATTTTCTCAGGTGAGCGCTGGCAATCCGCAAGACAAGGCATCAGGCGAGTCCCAAAGTGCGTGCCAATCCACACTGTGCTTGTATGAAAATCCCTCGGCAGCATGAGAGCGTTCAAGTCTGAATCAAATACAGTGACTTGCAGGCTCCCTTTTTACTGAGCAATACCTTTTCTTGCAAACAAACAAGGCCCGGAGAAGGCCGTCAAGGGCACTAAGCATTGTGTGGCCGACGGGATGACAGAACAAGAAAAGGAAGAAAGGTTGCGTCGTTTTATACGAACGATGTTACTCGTTTTCAATTACATTACGTTTACACACAAACATCACACACACACACACACACACACACACACACACACACACACACACACACATATATATGTATATATATATATATATATATATATATATATATATATATATATATATATATATATATACACACACATATCCACAATTAAACATACAAATCCGTCTCTAGGGTTGGTGCGCGTGAGCGTGATTGAGGGGAGGGCCGCAGGTGGCACTCGGGCACGACAGCGAGCGACACGCAAAACAGGATTCACGGTTTAATAAGCACAAGAGTCGTATTCCGGCGAAACGCTTTGTTTTCTTTCATGGCTGTCACTTCCTTCTTGGCGTTCGGTTTCTTCCTTCTAGTTACTCCTTCCGTTTCCTTTGTGTCAGGAGTCACTCACTGAAGGGCAGTATACTTACATAATACGTATCTATCTATCTATCTATCTATCTATCTATCTATCTATCTATATATATATATATATATATATATATATATATATATATATATATATGTATATACATATATGTATATATGACTGCCGCGGTAGTCCAGTGGTTAGCGCACTCGACTCCGTCCCTTGTGGTCCCGAGTTCAATTCCAAGTCGCGGCGGTCGTGAAAATGCCTGCGCTCTGACTGTTGGCTCGAGGCCGAGAAAACGACATATCGCCTTGAGAAGTCAAACGCAGGTGTCGTAGGGGAAGTCACCGCCGTGGCACAAGTGTTAGCGCGCCGAACCACGGTTGATTAGGAAAGGCATCCAATCAGGCAAGGGTGGCACTGCCATATAACCTCTCAATAGTGAATTGAGAAAGGCCTATGTCCTGCAGTGGAATAAATGGCTGTACCAAAAAAAAGAAAAAATATATAAATATATGAATATGAATATATATATATAAGTATATATATATATATATATATATATATATATATATATATATATATATATGTATATATATATATATATACACACACACAATATAGATGATGTAACTTGTTCCCTTCCTATAATTTATGCAGTCAATCACAAGCAGCATTCGCTGTCTAGGACAATTTGAGAATGGTTAAAAAAGTAAGATAAGGTGAGGAGGCTGAGGTGACGCAGCGAAGTCCTTAAATCAAATAGAACAAAAAAGTAAAAAGAAAGGAAGACGCAAGTGGCAGAACAATTTTCCACGGATCTGGAGACCTAAGGAATGACAATGCCGGAGGAGAGCCGGAAAACAGCGAGGCATGACAATAAACCGGGAAAGACCGGTGCAACGACAGGGGGAGCTGTAGGTAAAATGGCACATTAAAGTGCTGCATTCAAAATCTGGTAAATGATGTTCTTTAGAATACAAAAACCCACCTTTGTCATCACAAAAAACAAATGACAAATAAACGATGAACTTTGAACGACGCGGACGCGGCAGAGAGCCTAATATCAAGAAGACCACAGAAGAACGTCTAAGGAATCTGAGATTCGGAACAAGATGTTACGCATCACATTATGTGATGCTGTGGGCGGCAGCGAATGAACTACCCGACCTTTACCGAAACTCTTACTCTAGAACAAAAAGAACAATAAGTAGGTCTCAGAACTCACAGCTGATTATTTGCCACTTGTCTAACAATTTCTCATTTCTTCTCCCTTTCCTCCCATGCCCCCTCCTCGCCATGAGGCCGTTCCATTTCCTTCCGGGGCCCAGCGCGGGCACCGGCAAAAAGCGGGGAATCACGCTTTTCTGGTGCGGGAGACTCCTTTGGCTGCAGCGCCAGAAGGTGAGCGTCTTCGCCTCGGTATGATTCAGCAGACTCCATAGGGAGGCAGGAGGAAGATCTGTGCTTCGTCACCGCGATCGATGTTCACGAGATTTCGGTAGGATATAACAAATTACACATTTGCTAAGTACAAGCGACTCGCAAGGAAAATGAAAACCCTAGATTCTTTATGTATTCACTATTTCGGGGTAGTGCCCCGCTTTGAGCGCCGCGCCCTTGACTTGCGTAATATACACGTGGGTTCAAACAACACCAGCCAGGCACGTATGAAGGTTTACCTGGCTCCATGTTGTAAACACATTTTACAATGCTACACGAATTTTCTGCAAATCATTGGTAAATATTAATTAGTATTTTAGGTATTATGAAGAAGTTTAACACTTTGGATGTAAACTGAAAACATACTCATAAACCGACAGAGACACATACCCACACAAGACGAGAAAGCTTGGTGTCTCATACCAATATTTTTGTCCTGATAGCGATCATAGAAAGCATGTTTTTTATTACTATTTTTTTTAACTATAATAAAATGATCTTTGTACTCTTTTTGAGCTACAATACTGTTCACACTAAAGAACTGAGGGAAACTAGGGAAATCGATTGATGTACCTGGAACACAAGTGCATTCACCTATTCTCTTGAAGGTGAGAGAGATTCGCTCATCGGTGATCTCTGACAAAACCCTGTCAAACAGCAATAGCACGCTATCAGCGGTAATGACCTTTGCTGCCTTTGTGTCCTTGGCTTCCTCGGCGAACCTACTCGGCTCCCGGACGAGTTTTGAATCAGAGGGAGAGAGAGAAAGAGAAAGAGAGAGAGAGAGAGAGAGAGAGAGAGAGAGAGAGAGAGAGAGAGAGAGAGAGAGAGAGAGAGAGAGAGAAACTTTTACATCAGAGAATATTGTGAAAAGAAAGGGAATTTCCTCTCTTACTGAGTATTTCCTTGTGCTTGCGCGCAATCACACCTTCCGTCAACCTGCCGCGTCTGGCTCAGGCGCTGTAGGTCAAGCCAAAGTCAAGTGGCAGCAACAGAAAATCCCCGAACAAGACCATCGACAGACACCTTGCCCGCTAACGAGGCTCGTCTGAGGGGCGGCTGTCAAAGTAAAATCCCGAGGTCACGGTGAAGAGACACGCCCCCTTCGCGCTCCGAGGAAGTCATGGAGATCAGCTTCATCTTACCCTCAGCACAGAGTTCAGAAGAGTAATCAAACTGCAAATATTTCACTGCCATGGATATCCTCTATTCACTAAATGATTATGAAAGTAACGATAACAACTGTGACAACAGTAACGGTGTATCCATGGGGAAATGACAGCAATGATAATATTACTGCTGATGGTGGTAATAATAATGACAAGGATCAGTGATACAGTGATGATGATGATTACGATGATGATGATGATGATGATGATGATGTAGTTACAATGTTATTGATAATGATGATAATAATGATGCTAATGTTAATGCTAATGCTAATGATACTGATAATAATAATGGTGATGATGATAATGGTAATGTTAATGATAATGATATTGATATTGATAATGATAATAATGATAATAAAATGATATTAATAATGATAATAAGGATTATAATAAGAGTAATAACAATAATAATACTGATAGTGATAATAACAACAACAGCAATAATAATA